TTTCAACCAGCATAACAAAAAATGTTTCTGAAGACAATCACCTATTGCACCTTTAATATTTGCATCATTTATGATTTATTTTATCCACCCGCGACCCACCCGCAAATAATCCGAATCCATTTTTTATTACCCGACCCGCGGATTATCCGCAGCGCCAGTGGATATAGGAAAAGCAAAATATGTTTGCTGCGTAAATCAGATGGACTTACTGAAAATGCAAATTCATTCTCTGCCAGCCGGAGGTGCTTTAAAGCGGGAGAAACAGAGGTTTCCCCAGTAATGGCTGTACACAAATCAGCAATGAGCTCACAAACGCTGCTTTATCAGGCATATAACATGCAAGATGAAATGAAAATGACATCGAAAATTTTCTAAAGATAGTCTTCCTTCAGAAATACAGTGAAATAAAAACACCCGCGCCTCGTTATGATTTTTAAATGTGCAGTACATGCTCATGTTTATTAAATTTTGATATTGTGGGGAGCCCACAAATAAATAAATGTATGGGAAACACATCCCACAGCACAACCACCTGAGCCCAACTTCAGTCTACTCATCACCTTAACTTTAACTGCGTTTGTAGCCGGTGCCATAGCCAGACTGATAAACAAACACAGACCGGAACCGTCTATAATTCCTGATAAAGCAGCTTCATGAGCGCTGAGCTGCTTTATGTACAGCCGTTGCCGGGGAAACCGCAATATTTCAGCGTTCCTAAAGCGCCACCTCGTGGAGGAGAATGAATTTGCATTTCCAATAAGCCTTTCTTGCTGTTTATGGTCAAATCAATGCAAATATCAACTCGTGTTTTTACGCAGCAAACACATAGAGTTGAGAAAGAAGATACCCTGTAAATAGTGAAATAAAATTCCTTCCTTCATATTTGTTGATATTTGTGTATTGAAAATATTTTGATTGACATTTAAACTCCTATCTGATTTTCTATATTTAAAAAAAAAAGGTCTTTTTTTTATTTGGGCTAGTTAAATTAATTTTCGGGCAACCAAAATCTGAAGAGTACCTGCCCGAAGGGCTACCAGGGATTTTGAAATTTTGCGAGCCCTGATGCTACATAAAAACATTTCCATTGTCAAAAAATACATATTGCTTCAGTTGGGTTTGACTTTTACAACTTCACCAGAAATTTTAAATGAGCTAACCTTCAACCATCTGACATGCTAAAAACATTCTAGCACTGTAAACCTCCTCATTCCCCTTCCTAGTTCACTCTCTCTTCTTACTCACATCCTTTCTTTGGACTGTAAGTTCTTGTCCATCTGTTGGGTTGAAGGCCTTTTTCCCCCCCTCTTTCTCTTTTCCTTTATTGTGGGTTTCCGGGAGGATGGGAGTTTTAACTTATTGCCTCAAGAGTTATGAGACATGCAGCAGGCAAACAGCAATCCAAATTAACACCAATACTGGACTTAGCCGCTGAACTTGTGAACTTCTTATTTTAAAAACTGTAAAAATAGCTAAAGGTTCCAGTTTCTACCACATGATTATCAAAGAGCTTATCCTGACAGAACCTGATATATAACAGAGCTACACATTCACCATTAAACACATGCTAATGTTCATATGTTAGATGTTGACTTTGGAATATTTTAAAAGGAACTTTTAAAAAGACATTAGAGAATGTTATAACGTTAACACATATCATTTACATTACATGAATGCATTTGGCTTTTATCTGAAGCAACTTACAATAAAGAGACAAACGCAATTTGTCACAATGCCAGGTTTATTAGAAGTCTAGATCAGGAAACAAGGTGAAATGCTGAATTTTTGTATTTTTGTGTCTCTGTGCCTTAAGGTTGTGTAGTTGATAAAGGTGCATTTTCAGCTGCTTCAAATCACATACAGATATAAAAAACTAAAGTTTCATCAAGTTTTATCATTATGGGATAATTTTATAGTTGGCTTTTTACAGTTGTGCTAACAGTTCAGACATTAGCTTAAACTTTTATGAAGTGTTGCTTTACTATACTTTAACCAGAAGCTTTCCACAGTGCAATTGGGTGGTTTTCAGTTTAGTTCGATTGGTGTAATTTAGCAGGCAATGTAATATATTTTAGGCACTAAAGTGTACTGAAGGTGACAAAATACAGCATTAGCTAGCTATTTGTAACATAAACATAATGTCTGTGAACACTTTCATTAAACCAGGTCAGTGCAAAATGTCTGGTAGAATGTATTTGCAAGCAATTCGACTTTCCAATGAAGATGTTTCACCACCCATCTCAATGACTTCATCAGCTGTTGGATGCTGGGGAATTCCAGCCATCAGACAGTTCCTAAAAGCCATTTGGATCAGCGACAAATCGTCTTCAATAGATACATTAAAACATCAGGGCATGTGTGGAAATTTAATAACGAGTTGCTTAAAAAAAAAAAATTTCCCAGCACTTTTTTGAGAAAGGAAACCCACCATCTTTCCCGCTCTCTGATTTCTCTCTCAATCTAACATATTCCATCTATCCATCTGTATGTCTGTTTCTCTCACTTGAGCACAGATGCACTTTTTTTTCATTGGTTTTGGTTGTATTCCTGTCTTACATTCTTTTTCGCCATCTGTCTGTTTAGTTCTCTCTTCCTGTCTCAGATTCACTGTCAGTCTCTCTTTGTTTATTTCAGTTCTTCTTACATAAATTCCACCATCTGCTTGACTGTTTGTGTCTTGGTGTTTGCTAGCTTTTTTTTCTCTCTCTGACTTTTTGCCCTGTACCCAACTGCTCGTCTTTTTGGGCCTAGTGTTCCAGAGCGGATGGCCACCCATCAGCACCAGTTTATAGAAACTGTCTCCCCCCATCAAAACTCAGAATAGCACAGTATTGCAACTGTTTCAGAAGCAGCTGGGTGTTATTTGCATGAATAATGACCAAATGTGAAATATTAGAAATGATGCCAAGGGTACTGGGAGGAAGGCTCAGATGAAACCTCTTTTACTCTTGCATATTACATGTTATGTAACTAGTCAAACAAAACGATGGTTGTCTGACTAGCCACTTGAGCCGTCAGTTTAATGATGGACGGGAGTCTGTCACTAATATAAACAACACCTGCGAAGGGAAATTTGTTAGATGTGGGTTTTGTTAAATCGACCAGACAGTCTGTCAAGATGACTTCTGGCAGTAGGTACCATTGAAGAAATTAATGCGAGATGGACTGACAGAGGAGAAATTAGGTGACTGCTTTTAAAAATGATGGAAGAAGTGTCCTATTACCTTAATTTAATCTCAAACTGAGGTCCAAACAAAGTGGGTTTTCTCCACTTTGACAAAGTTAATATGTCTGGCTGACTTGTACAGAGCAGCTATTGATAAAGAGTGTCTGGGTTGTTCCTCCTTCCACAAGTGAAATGTCTTTGATATTTTACATGAGCTTATGTGGGGAGGTTTTTAAGCATTTCAGCCAAAATTGTTCCAGTGAAAAACACATCAGTTACTTTTCTAAATAGCCTGAGAAATACTCTAGGAATTTAACGAATCCTGTCTTAACCTCCAAAACATACTGTATGTGTTATTTAAGCAATGGAAAGTTAGTGTTGGGGAGTCTTTCAGTTCAGTAACATGCTATCTAACACAGCATCTTATCACAAGGGTTTGTGTCTAGTGTTTGACGAATCTGTTGGGCCGATTTAATTGTGGCATGTATACCACAAAATGGTCCATTTAATGTGGCATAAATGAATTTCCAGAGAAATCACAGTCATGGGAAACAGTTTATTGCGTTATTAAACATTTTTTTTATGTTTGAAACAAACATTTAAAAGTATGAATCACTACTACTAATCACTAAGGATTGAAAGTTCTGAAAGAAGCTGAAAGTTACTTCACATAAATGTGGAGAAAACAAGACGCACACTGATTAGCATGACAACAGCAAAGAGAAAAGGTGGATCTAATGTTGCATTTAATTTTGAAACCGAATTTGAAGGTAGAGGATGATTTCATGAAATCATTGCTATCAAGCTCTCTTTTTACCTTTTTCTTTTACTTTTTTCTCGTTCTCAGCTTGTCCATCTGGCACATATAAACCTGAAGCAGTTACTGGAGGTGTGAGTACCTGCCTTCCTTGCCCCGGCCCTCATCACACATCCAGACCTGAGAGTACAGATGTATCAGACTGTGTGTGTATGGAAGGCTACAGACCACACAACAACATATGCCAAGGTGCTGATCTATCTGCTTTATATCTATAAACATCTCTGCTAACATTTCTGTTTATAGATAAGTGTCTGTATTTCAAACACTAAATTTAATCCTTTAACTCTCCCACTTTCTTGTTGTCCCTACTGCAGCGGTGGTCTGTCCGGTTCTCTCTCCTCCAGAGAATGGCTTCTTCATCCAGAATGTGTGTAATAATCAGTTTAACTCTGCATGTGGGGTGCGCTGTGTCACAGGCTTTGACCTGCAGGGAGACGGAATCAGACTCTGTCAGCCAGATGGGACCTGGTCAGGAGTTCAGCCGAGCTGCAGAGGTAAGGCACACCTGGATTTTATGACATCACAGGTCCTGGAAAGGGGACACAAACTGATTTATTCATTACAAGAACCAGAAGCAGAGAGTGCTACATGGATGTCTTTATATAGCCACTGGTGCTCATTGGAGGTAAACATCAAATAATGTTCACCAAATAAATCATCACCAGGTGTCCTGAAGAAGGCTGTTTTGCCAAAACGCATAGATCTACTTTTAACTAGTTGTAATGATTTAAGCCAAGTTCATTAAAGCTTTTTTATCTTACCACGTGAGTGCCTTGGAAGTATTTCGTCTACATAATCTGATTTATTCATTGTTTTTTTCTTTTCCTTTTGTTTCACTTTTTCTTTCGTTAGCTTGCCCACTCTCCACTCTAGTGTTATTTTTTGCCTCTAATTCCATCTAAGCGAAAAACATATTGGTTTTATTGTCAGTTTATGTGTTACAGAATTGGAAGCTCAAAGGGCCTTTAGTCACCCCATATGTTTCATCACCCCCAGAAACGCTAATATACTGCAGCCTTTGAGTATGTATGCGTGTGTGCAGAGGGGCTCATAAAGCCATTTCTCTGCCTGTCGGCCTGCAGCGCTCTGAGTTCATGTGTGTTTAGATAGCTAGAAAGTAAACTTTAATGCTTTGCCAACTATGTGAGTGCTTACACACTTGAACAAATTAATACAATATGTATATGCACAAACCAAATCACACGCTCAGACAGATGCATGTATGCAAGTTGACCTGTTAAGAGTTCCTTCTCAGTATTTCGTCTACATAATCTGATTTATTCATTGTTTTTTTCTTTTCCTTTTGTTTCACTTTTTCTTTCGTTAGCTTGCCCACTCTCCACTCTAGTGTTATTTTTTGCCTCTAATTCCATCTAAGCGAAAAACATATTGGTTTTATTGTCAGTTTATGTGTTACAGAATTGGAAGCTCAAAGGGCCTTTAGTCACCCCATATGTTTCATCACCCCCAGAAACGCTAATATACTGCAGCCTTTGAGTATGTATGCGTGTGTGCAGAGGGGCTCATAAAGCCATTTCTCTGCCTGTCGGCCTGCAGCGCTCTGAGTTCATGTGTGTTTAGATAGCTAGAAAGTAAACTTTAATGCTTTGCCAACTATGTGAGTGCTTACACACTTGAACAAATTAATACAATATGTATATGCACAAACCAAATCACACGCTCAGACAGATGCATGTATGCAAGTTGACCTGTTAAGAGTTCCTTCTCTTGTGACCTCAGGCCTGAAATAACAATATTTTGGTTTTTCTTTGTATGGAAATAAATTACAGGTCTCAAAGTCCCAACCACAGACTTAGCTACACAGGCAGCTACCAGCCACCCTCTTCTCAAGCATTTTCTCTTTTCCCTCCCGTTTGCTCTTAAAATCTCTCTTCTTCTCTAGTCTGTCCATCTTTTCCATTTTTGTTTCTCCCAGCTGTCCATTTTAGCTCAGTGTCGTTCCATGGATTCATTTAAATGCAGCAAAGTTTTAATAACATAGGACCAAACCTTCTGTGCGATGCTCTAACCCCTGTCTGGTGTGTGTGGTATTTTCCCATAGTTCGCTCTTGCCCAGATCTCTCTCCTACGCGTCGTGGGGTACTGAACTGCAGTGAGCGGACCACCCCCTATAGGCTGGAGTGTTTGGTGCGCTGTGAACAGGGCTATAGGCTGCAGGGCAGAGCTAGACTCACCTGTCTGGCCAACTCGCAGTGGAGTGGACCACAGCCCCGGTGTGTCGGTAAGATCGCAGTTCTATGTGTGTTTATGTAGGGATAAAAGGGCTGCAAATTGATGGAAAAATTTAAAAACCTACATTGTAGTGACCTACCTGAAGAGAAAACAAATTCATGAAGGGACTACAAGCTGTACAGGTTAAAGCAATAATAACGGCTCTATTTGACCATATGGACCAACCGCAGTACAAACCAGCGTTTTTCAAACCACAGTTTTCCCTTCAGAAAACATTTGTAATGCACCTCCAATCCAATTATCACAAAAAAGCTTTGTGCTTTGTTACTTCTGAAACAAAGCCTCAGCTTTCAAATCCTGTACATTTTATCACAAAATTAAAGCAATAAATGCCATTTTGACACTCTTAAATGTGGCATGACAGATAACTGTAGCGGTTTCAGTTCAAGCGGCAACGCGGAGTGCCACTTTATTACAAGTTATAGTGCGAAATAAACAACTGAACATTAGAAGGTATGTTAAAAGAAAAAGCACAGCTTCGCTCAAATAGCTCAATCAGCATTTCAACCGAAAGAAAGGCATCAAATAAAACAGCTTGTGAACAATGTCAATTAACGTTGCGTTTACCTCAGTAAAGTTATCCACACAGTTTGTTATTTAGCTATAAAAACACTAGAGGGAGCAGTTTATTATATATGTATGTTTAAATAAATCTGTCATGAAGACAAGTTTTTACGAAAACTACCTTATGTGCAATTAAGTTGTATACAAACGTTTTTATTTGAGTGTGATTATTTCTGAAAATAAAAACTCTCTTTAACTGGTAGTTGGACAGAATTAGTGCACAGCAAGACTCATCGTCCTGCCAAATTTAAACTGTAATCACATATATTTTTGTGTAGTCAGCTACACAAAGTCAGCTGTGGCAGCCACTTAGCCAGTTTTTACCCACAAACCTACAGACAGAGCTGGGTAGATTACTTACAAACTGTAATTCTTTACTGATTACAAATTACATGACAAAACTTTTAGTTAGTAGTGTATTGCATTACATTACACATTTTAGGTAATATATTCAGACTACTTTTTGATTACTTTTAGATGACTTTTGACCTAACTCGTTTATGACATTCATTTAAACAGTTAAATCTTGTACCATATTGATATAAAAATACAAAGAGAAAGAAAATATATTCCATTCATTGTTATTAACAACAAGAAGTGCATTAAACACTACATTACGTCAAGGTTTCCCAAACTGGGGTTTGTAAAGGAACTGCAGGGGGTTTGTGAGTTTAATTAAAAGCTAATAATTCATAAAAATGTAAAATTAAAATGAATAATTTTAAAATAACATCAATCAATTAGAAAACTTACTAAAAAATGAAATATTTTATTTGTTTACCTCCATGTCATGTGTAGGTTATTTTAGAAAGGAACATTTAAAAGATGAAAAATAGGAATTAAGGAGAATCAATAAATTACAAATAATTTATTGCTCTTATGTGAATAATATGCAATTATGTAATCAATAAAACTGTAACTGTAGTCTGATTATGAGTATTTAAAAATATAATTTAATCTAATTACAAGTAGTTCGTTTTGGAATCTGATTACCTAATCCAGATTACATGTAATCAGTTACTACCCAGCTCGGCCTATAGACACCTTATGCTTGGCTTCCCATATAAAAGTAAAAGGCATCTGTGAGCATGGCAAGTCAAAATACTCTTTTATAGCTTTTAACAACTTGCTTCTTAAATAACTGTATGTTTTTTGATCTGTCCGTCCCTACCTACTGTCAGTCAGCATTGCTTTGCTCTTCTCGATTTCTTCGATCTTTGTAGTTGGATCGTTTGGACTGATTTTCCAGCAATGCCTTTGGCCCATTTAAGTTGTATGACATGTTTTCTTGTCTTCACTGTAATTCTTTCACTCGATTTCTTTCTGTGCTCATCATTCTCTCTTGCTTTGGCAGTACAGGGTGATCCAGATGTCAGACTGAAAATCATTTGCTTGTGCGAGTATGCGTGTGTTGAGGTTGTTTCCAAGAATGTCAAGCAGTGTGGTCAACAACCGCTCTTACATTTCCCTTTCTGGAGATATTTTTGCACGCTCTCTCTTACTCTCTCATTCTTTTGATTTATCTTTGTGGAAAATGCTTGTTGTTTATGTTTGACTGTGTTTCTCTCTTTCTAAGAGGTGCGCTGTCCTCCGATTGTTACTTTGAAGCATATCAGTTTGTCACCCCCTGCCTGTGGGGAGAATGAGGTCAGGACCGGAGCGTCGTGTCAGTTAACCTGTCCTCGTGGTTACAGTCTCATCAGTAACTCTGAAGTCAGATGTCTGCCTTCTGGAAACTGGAGTGACAATCTACATAAAGCAACCTGTAAAGGTGATTTGTTTTCGGTTTGTGTTTATAATGACAAACAATATTATGTTTTGCATGTCCTTGTGCATATACATCTACACATGTGGCTGAAACCTCCCTGTTTGTTCTGCTGTAAAATGATGTGTTGCAATGGGACAGATGTGCTGCCAGTAAAACAGGTGCATTCAATTTGTTGCTGCGAAACCTTAAGATGATGAAGAACAGAATAAGTGGAAGATCATCAAACAAAGTTGCACCATTGTGTAAAACTAAAGAGTTCCAAGATCATAAAACATCAAAACCGCCCCTCCAAGCTGGAACCAACCAAAGGATCATTTAGTTTTGGCCTTCACTTCTGAACCTCTAAGATTTACTGATGAGAGGAGAGATTGTGTTTTCTGTATTTATGTGAGGTTGTGGCTCATCAGTGTCTATAGAGATTAGGGCAGAAGACAGCGTTTGCATCTGATGCGGGTTCTTTCTAGGACCTATTAGTCTAATGATAAAGTATTTGTTTAGCTTGGAGGGACAACAGAGGCTGTGTGATTAATAGGCTCTGCTCCAAGCTGGATGTGATATTAATAGTCAGTCAGTAGCTGTCAACACAGCAACACCAGCAAATGCTCTGTGCACATAGACTTCACATGAATCTATTCATGTAAACATGAGAGTTGTATCATTAAAGGAACAGACATATGGGTTTGGAACGATGTGAGGGTGAGGAAATCATGACAGAACTTTCATTTTTGTTCTCTTTTGGCCCTATTACTGTACCAGTGAAGTATTTGTTTGGCTTGGATAGAGAGTGCAGACTACGTGATTAGCATGTTATACTCTGAGCTGCATGTGATAATGATACACCTCTGTAAATAGATCATATCACCGCAACACCAACTACTTCTCAACATGAATCTAGACTCACATCATCAAACAAAGAGTTCACCCAAGAATCATTTATTCACCCTCATGTTTTAAACTCCCTTGACTTTATCTGTTCCAGTGAACACGAATGGTGATATTTAGCAGAATGTTCACACTGTTTTTTCTATACATTAAAAAAAGCATTTTTGTCTTTATTTTTCAAGTAAAAATATCTAAACAGTAAACATTAGCAACTTTCTTCTTGAGTATGTTTTTTTTTTTTGGTCTGTCCTTAAAGATTTGCCACTGACAAGATGGGATTTTTTTTTTTTTTAACTCATTTGTCATTTTTTTTTTTGACTTTTTGCCAAAAACGTAAACACATCAGGGAAAAAAAAAAGTACCAAACTGTCACGTTTGTGTACCATTACACCCCTAATATATATATATATATATATATATATATATTTTACATTTCTCAAAATATTATCTTTTTTGTTCCATAAAAGAAACTTACTCTTACAGGTTTGGAACAACATGAGATTGAGTAAATGGCGACAGAGTTTTCATTTTTGCATGAACTATTTCGACTTTTTTTTTAAATGATAAAAAAGTTCCACTCCAAAAGGGATGACTTTTTACATTTGAGATGTTTTACACAGAGCATACGATGAGATAGCTAGAGGTAATGAGTGACATCATTATGGCATGTTTACATCAGTAATTAAATCAGTAATTGGTAATGGGGTTGACGTTATGGAGACTTTCGAGCCCTGAACTGATTTTCTCCTCTGTAGATATAGAACCTCCATGGATTCAGTGTCCTGGTGATGTCATCACAGAGACAGATGAACATCAGAGGTCAGCTAACATCAGTTTGAGTGCACCCATGCTTGGGGACAATTCTGGAGATGAGGTGAGTTTTACATCAGCTCTTTAATTTTTTATTTTCCATTATGAGTCAAAGGAGCAGGTTTTGTGTATTTGTTTTAAAATGAGGTTTTACCTTTCTTCCTCAGGTTGTGGTGCAGGTGACCCCTGTTCTAAACCCCATGCAGCCTTTCCCTGTAGGAACTGAGTTCATAACATACACAGCAACCGACCGCACAGGAAACAAGGCCAACTGCTCTTTCACTGTTACTGTAGTTGGTGAGGTTGGATTCCATCTACAACTGATAGTAATTTACATGGCCTTATTTAAATGTTGTGTTTTTGCCAAAGCACTATAATATATTATTTTTTGCCTTTTGCAGTATAATAGCTTTGTTCTATACTATGTTCTCTTAGATACGGAACCCCCCTTGATTGACAGGTGTCGATCTCCACCCACCGTTAAAACCACTGGGAAAAAAACTGCAGTATACTGGGAAGAACCTCAGTTTTCAGACAATTCTGGTAAATACAAGTTTAATTTTTAAGAGCGTGAAAAAGACAAAAAAAAGTGTTTAAAGGTGCACTAAGCAGAATTTAAAGTTAGGCTGCATGTTTTCTGGCAAATGATATCATCAGTTACTCCTTTAAATAGGAGAAAGGGTACTCATGAATATAAATTCGGTCGTACTCAAATAATTTAACATGATCTTTTACTATTTTAATAAATATAGACAGCAAATAGAGGAACAATGTCAATTGTTAGGCCATGTTTATACTTTATTTTTATGTTCAGATAAAATAGTAAACAGGTCCAGGAAATTGTAGGCCTTACTGGAATGATCTTGAATCTGGTGCGTGAGAAAATTAATCTTCAGGAATTGACGTTTGGTACAATCATCACAGAGAGGCTTTTAGTTGTCTTTTAGTAGCTGCAAGGAATGGAAATGGTTTGATTTATGAACATTTTAAGAACTCCGGGAAGGAAATGCTTTCCTATAAAAAATATTTATTGATTTGGCACCTTAAGCAGCGATAAGGATTGGAGTCAGGATTTTGGTCTTGGACAGGTAAAATGACTTTAGTTTTATCCTAGAACTGCAAATACAGTGAAGAAAGAAAGAAATTAAGTTTATGATACAGTGGTTATGGAGTATGGAGTTAACCACAGTTGTTGTGTTAGAATAAAACAAGATAAGATAAATAATTTGTGCACACAAATGCATTTGTGCAACTGCACATGCACTGCAGATTCCGCAAGATAATTCATTTTGTTCTTAACCAGTTCAGACGTGAATACACAGACACACACACACTTTTCCAGAGAGAAGTTCCAGGGCTATTCCAAACTGTCTGACAAATGTCTGGGTCTGCCGGGTTTTGGAGGGAGTTTTGTCTGTACTAAATATAAATCAGCGTCAGGGTGTGGGCATGGAAAAGCAAAACATGCTGACGTTGGGGTAGTGTGGTGTGACGTTGACAAGCAGCCTCAGTGTGGTCACAAAACCTTATTTTAGTAGATATATGTATGAAGGTTTCATTACAGTTGTGGCTACTGATATGTGCATGCAAATAAGCATGTGTGTCTTTGAGTGTGTGGAGTGTATATGAACCTTGAAAGACTCTATTGTCTGACCGCAGTGTAGCACCCTTAGTTCTGTGTCATTAAACAATCTAGCAATTACTCTCCTCTGGCACCAAGGCCTATTATTCCCAGGCCTCATGAGGAGCAGTACAGTAGCATAGCACCCTTTGTAGGACTTTGTGGTTGACCAGAGCGAGTCCTTGTGGAGCTCCACATTGCTCCCTGTGGTAATGTCTGTGAAAGTACCTGTTACATCATTGGCTAATGGCAGATTGCACAAATAAAGCGATGTGTCTGCAATATTGCAAACAGATGCAGGCGTATATACACTACATGGCCAATAGTATGTGTACACCCGCCTCTAATTAACGGGTTTAGCTATTCTAGTAATTCCAGTGAAGATAAATCTTAATACTACACCACACAGTGACGTTCTAGGGAATTGTGTGCTTCCAAATTTGTTGCAACATTTTGGGGAAGACACTTTTATGCTCGAGCATAATGATACCCTAGTGCACAAAGCAAAGTCTGCAGAAAAACTGCAAACTGAGTCTGGTGTGTAAGAACTTCTCTGGCCTTCACAAAGCCCAGACCTAGCCTCAACCGAACACCTTTGGGATCAATTGGACACGCTTTTGTCTGAATGGGAACAAATCCTGCAGCCATGTTCCAGCATCTAGTAGAAAGCCTTCCCAGAACTCTGTAAGTGGTTATAGCTGCGAAGAGAGCGATGAATAGAGATGTTTTGTTTGTTTGTTTTTGCTAATTAAATATACAGGCACATATTGATTTTATATAACATTACATGAGGTATTCACCACTGTACCAAAGTTTGGGGTCAGTAAGATGTTTAAATGTTTTTGAATTAAGTCTTTTATGCTCAACAAGGCAGTAAAAGTCATTTTAAAAGTCATTTTTTAAATCTTACTGGCCCCAAACTTTTGAATGTTGTCTATATAATAGTGTGCTGCTTCCTAGTCTGTATTAAGTAATTTACTTGTTTATTTTTCCTTCTCAGGAGCCTATCTGAATAGCTCTAGTACTCACTCATCTGGAGATGTATTTCCTGTTGGAGAAACTTTAGTGTACTACACAGCTACAGACCCTTCTGGAAACAACCGTACCTGTGAACTCATCATTACCGTACAAGGTACTGTATGTTTGCATGGACTGTCTCATTGTTGATTAAGAAATGTCATTCCACACAGCATGCCTTATTTTCTTAAGAAATAAAGTACTCTGCTATAATCTGACTTTGGATCTGTCTAGCCAGTTAAGCTAAATGCTGTGATTTTTTTCCAGATTACACTGTTCCTATTTAAATAAACTAATTAATTCAGTGGCGCTAAAGGCTGTTTCTAACCTCAGGTTCAACCTGTGAGAAGCCATTCGTGCCAGTGAATGGGGATTTCTCATGTGCCAAGACAGAGGAAGGAACAAACTGCTCTCTGATATGCAGACAGGGTTACAGTCTCACACATGATGCCGTGCACAGCTACTTTTGTGCCAATAATGGAATCTGGGAGCCGCCCCGCTCACCAGACAGACCTGATTGCTCCCGTGAGTATTGCTTCACTCTTGCTCAACATTTGTCTTTCATTATTGCTCTACATATTTTCCAATTACAGATTCAGACATATACTGTCTTAGACACTGCACAGACAAATCTCCTCATTTTTATGCTTTTCTTTGAGCTTATGTATGTGTCTCCTATCTCCCATTTACAGTGAACAGAATTGCAAACAATGGCTTTAAACCCTTTGAGATGCTATTTAAAGCATCCCACTGTGATGACCTTGACTTGCTAAAGTCCTTCACGGGGGAGTTTTCAACTGTTCTTAAAGATATGGTGAGATCTGACACACAAGTATATAGACATGTACAGTACATGTACTGTGGCCACATGACTTGAATTATATCTTGTTATCCCTCATTGTTTTTTTTCTTCTTTTAATTTTTTTAAAATAATCATAATCCCATAGGTTCCTAAAATCTGCGGTGGAGATAATGTTACCTGCAAACTGGAAATGACTTTACCTGGACAGTGTCTGGAGTATAACTATGATTATCCAAATGGATTTGCTATTGGTAAATAATGGCATGCCTTTTCACTAGGCTGTGTTATTATTGTTTTTGGTAATTGAAATAAAGCTGAAATGAAATAAAATAATATTAAACAAACAATTTTTTTTAAATAAATGTAAGTTGAAGATTGCTAGATTAATTACTAACTAAAATGAAAATTAATTAAATTAAATATATTAAATTTAAATTTTCACTGATAAGATTGTTTTTTAAATTGTTTTCCCCCCACATGAGCACTTTTTTAAAACAATTAAACTATTTTTTCTTACATTTATTTTTAAATTATTTTCTTATAGATTAATAAATAAATAAATAAATTTGTCATAAACTGTAATTTCTTTTTTCTCCTCCTCAGGTGCTGGAGGATGGGGCAGTAATTGGGGCTCTCAAAATGGCCAGGACTACGCATATTTTGACACTGGTTTTGCTCCAGAGCACCACTTGCAGCAAGATGGTTCATCACAGCATGGCTATCACATGAGGACCAAACGCCATCGTAAAATCACTGGCCCTACCAGAGAGCAAAAGATACAAATTCATTTCAACATCACAGGTAGAGAAATACCAACTATTAGGCTAACTAGTTAGGCCCTGTGCCTAATTCAAAATTAGTTTTACATCCAAAGCTAGTTGCAACTTCTCCCAACACCATTCCTTTTTCCCAGCAAGCATCCCACTGCCCTTGTCGAGGAATGACTCAGCGGAAATAGTCAATCAAAGACGTTTGCTGAGGGCACTTGAGCAGCTGACCAATCGGCTTAAGCGGACACTGAGCAAGCAACCGTTCTCTACCTTCCATGTGTCGTCAGAGATGATCGTAGCGGACCCCAAATCCTTGGAAAGTAAAAAAAAAGCAACGCTGTACTGCCGGCCAGGGTCTGTTCTCAAAGGCAGGGTGTGTGGTGAGTTTAAAAATGAACTACATTCAATGAAATCCACAAGATACATTCAAAAGGGCACATCTGATATAGATTCCAGACTAAAAATGTGACAGGCATTTAAGTGTTTTTGGGTTAGGGTGAAGAGCTGCAAACGTCTGGAAAACATTTGCCACAATTTAACTGCAAGTTTACCATAAAAAAACGGTTTTGCAAAGTGCCAGCCAGTTGCATATGAATTGGTAACAAACACCTTTGTGACCTCCTTGTTGGTTTTGACCCATAGTGCAATGCCCAGTAGGGACGTATTTCTCCCTGGAGTATGGCGAGTGTGAGAGCTGCTGGAGAGGGTCGTATCAGGATGAGGAGGGGCAGATGGAGTGTAAGTCATGCCCAGATGGCTTCTCCACTCCGTACCTCCATTCACGCAGCCTGGCAGAGTGCAAAGGTAATCAGTAAGCTTGATTTATTTATCTACAATGATCTGTCTGTATGTTTGTTCATAAACCTACTCATCACTCCATTCCAGTAGAAAACCACTTATACTGTAGTTGGGATCTCTAAGTGTGTCTCTGTGATTGTGTGTGTGCGCATACCTGCATGTGTGTGCATGTTTCCAGCGCAGTGCCAGCCTGGCAGCTCGTCATTAACCGGGTTGGAGACCTGTGAGTCCTGTCCTTTAGGGGAATACCAGCCAGATTTCGGCTCTCGGGCCTGTCTGCCCTGCCCTCCCACCACGACCACTGTCAATAGAGGGGCTCTAGATGTCAAAGAGTGCGGTGGTGAGATGTAACAACTGAAGAATTATCACTAAAACACACCTAAGAAGTACTTAAACATATGTGACCCTGGAGCACAAAACCAGTCTTAAGTCGCGAAAAGCACCATGCAAATAATTTTAATTTGACTCACACACACAACAATCACACCTTTTGTGACCCTGGAGCACAAAAGCAGTAATAAGTAGCACAGGTATAGCCTATTTGTAGCAATAGCCAACAATACATTGTATGGGTCAAAATTATTGATTTTTCTTTTATGCCAAAAATCATTAGGATATTAAGTAAAGATCATGTTCCATGAAGATATTTAGTAAATTTCCTACCATAAATATATCACAACTTAATTTTTGATTAGTAATATGCTTTGCTAAGAACTTCATTTGGACAACTTTAAAGGCGATTTTCTCAATATTTAGATTTTTTTGCACTCTCAGATTCCAGATTTTCAAATCCAAATCTCGGCCAAATATTGTCCTATTCTAACAAACCATACATCAATGGAAAGCTTATTTATTCAGCTTTCAGATGATGTATAATTCTCAATTTAAAAAAATTGGCCCTTATGACTGGTTTTGTGGTCCGGGGTCACATATAAGATAAACATAAAAGCTAGATTTATAAGAAAATTACCATTTGGTTTCTCTTTCTTTCTGTCTTTCCAGTACCATGTTCCGCAGGTCATTTCTCCCGGACAGGTCTTGTTCCGTGTTACCCATGTCCCAGAGATTATTACCAGCCTGAGGAGGGCCGTTCCTACTGCCTTTCTTGCCCCTTTTATGGTACCACCACAATAACAGGGGCCAAGGCTATCCAGCAGTGCTCCAGTATGTTTTTTACATTTATTCCAGTCATTTTATTTCCCTTTGTTTTCCTGCCATTCAGTACACTACCGTTCAATTTTGTGTCTTGTGCCCACCAAAGCTTTTATTTAATTTATTTAACAAAAATACAATACAAAAAAGTTGTATTGTAAAATGTTATTACAATTGAAAATATTTTATAATGTAATTTATTCCTGTGATGGCAAAGCTGAATTTTCAGCATCATTACTCCAGTCTTCAGTGTCACATGATCCTTCAGAAATCATTCTAATATGCTGGCTTGGTGCTTAAGAAACATTTCTTATTATTATCAATTTTGAAAATGGTTGTATTGCTTAATATTTTTAGGATTCTTTGATGAATAGTAAGTTAAAAAGAACAGCATTTATTTGAAATAGAAATCCGTTGTAACATTATAAATGTCTTTACTGTCATTTCTGATCAATTTAATGTGTCCTTGCTGAATAAAAGTATTAAGTTCTTTAAAAATCTTAGTGACCCCAAACTTTTGAATAGTAGTGTATGTGTCCAGATCTGATGCTGGGTATGAATAGTTTATGCACGTAATTTCTGCGTCACCGGTGGGACCAGTAACCAGAATTTAAAAAATAATGGTTGTTTCCACTTGTCAATTGTCTGCTAAACAGCTTATTATAGGTAGGCTTGGTAAGCGGTAGCATTTTAACATAAATAAATGTCACGCTTCACCTTTAATGTGATATGAAGTGATGCTTGAGCAAGACCATGGAGTGTAGAGGGTTTCTTCATTCATTCATCAATGGAATATATAGGTCATTTTCAGACTTTGGGTAGGTGTATGAACAACTTGCAATGAGAATCCAATGCACATAATGGAATCTGATTCTCTGTACACGCAGGAAAAAAGTGCCTCAGTGTGGAAAAGATGAGGATGATGAATGCCTTTGGAAAATGTTTTCCAGTTTTGACAGCAGAAATTCTCCTCTTTCACATCTTTTTTATGCGTGTGTTGTGCTTATTCTGTCTGTTTCATTTTCTCATTTCTGTCTCCTCCTTGTACTTTTTTCCCTCTTTTCTCTTGGTCTGACTCAGGCTTTGGCTCTAGTTTCCTGCCTAAAGAGGAAAGTGCAACTGCAGCGCCAGAAGTTGTTGTGAGAAAGGGTTATCAAGCCAGTAGCCAGGTGAGTCGTCTTCTCACTCTCAGTAGTTGGTACCCAAATCTTTGAAATGAATGTTTGAAATGTGTTCTTTGTATGTTGGGATCACATATAGTGACCCTAAAAAGAATTGGGACCTATAAATGTATATATGCCTTTGCATTAAATACTAAATACCAAGTGTCTTATTTGAAGGAAAGATAGCACAAACAACATTTCACAAAAGTATTGGATCATGTTCCTAATTTATGTGATCCTAATTTAAGTTCACTTGCGTGAACTTGAAAAAAACTGACATCATAAAATCACTAAATAGTTTTTACTTTAGTTAAAATATTACTAAAGAAAGTTCTTGTATCATTTTGTTTGAAGGTGCCAATTGCGTTGCTATTTTTTTAAATGAAATTTATGAAATGACCTTCAGATATGTTTTTGGTGAATAGTGAACCTTACCTATTGTTGTTGCCTATTGTATTGTTGGTGTCACAGCACCCCCTGTGGGCGGAAGTAAAATAGCTGAAAATGTAGTTCTTCTCTCTGCTGCAGATGTTCCATGAATGTCTCCTGAATCCGTGTCAAAACCAAGGCACTTGTGAGGAAGTCGGCGTTGGATATGTATGCACCTGTCTTCCAGGATTCACAGGTTTGGCATGTTCTGTAGCCATAACTCACTAGTAACATTGAAAAACCAGCTGTTAAGTTCAGTCGGCTTATGGAAAACAACTTTCTAACCTTTATAGTTGTCCTATGCACCGTTTTCTTGTACTTTCTGTAGTTCTGCGTACTGCAATGTGTTTCAAGTTGTTTTTGGGACAACTCGGTTGAGCCAACTAAATTTGTTTTAATAATTCAGTTAGTCTGGTAATATACTATATAATGTTGATAGATTTACCTCAGCCTCTGTAATTGAGATGAATCACTGCCCACTTTTTTCCTAATTTTCCTCATTCATTGCTTTACAGGAGCCAAGTGTGAGAGCGACATTGATGAATGTGATTCTACTCCTTGTCAAAATGGTGGCTTGTGCAGAGATGGCATGGGAGATTTCCAGTGTCAGTGTCAGCCTGGGTTTGTAGGTAAGAGAAAAGTGACATCAGCTCAGCTTCACACTGGGGAATCCCAATGTAACTGTAAAAGCTGAGTTCTACGGTTGAAATGTTTGAGGCAATTAAACCCCAAATCCAAAATTCCTCTCTGTTGAGGGTTCTGAAACTTTCCTTTAGTCTAACCATTGTGATGGATTTAGCTGTCTCTGAATCTCTTGAGTCTGGCAGTGGAACTACACAAGCTCTCATTCTCAGAACCTTACAGCACTTTTTCCATTCAGGCCATTGTCTCTCCTCTTTAAAACGTGGCCATGATTAAGCATGTGGCTGCCCTAGATATGGAGAATTGAATTGAAGTGTTTTTGTTCTTTTTCAACTGTGTGTCTGGGGTGTTTTGTTTGAGGTGGCAAGAGAGGCAAAATTTGAAAAGAATATAATTTAAAGTACGAAGACAAATCAAAACAAATATAATGAAATATGATCTCAAACAGTGTGTAAACTGCTTATTATTTTTAAAGTAATAATATTCAACATTAGCCAAGTTTCCATCCACTTTTTGTGCTGTTCTGTTATTGACAAAGTAAAAATGCCTAAAAAGTTAGCAAAATCATTTTCCTTTTTTACTGATAAAATGTGTGTAATGACATCATCATTTTTAAAAAGTGTATAGTAAAAGAAATCTGCCCAGAGACTGTGATTAAACTTAAGGCTGATTAAATAGTATGGTAATATAAATTCTAATAGGAATATTTAAGTATTGGCTGCTTGTTGATTGTCACCAGTGTGAGGTAAAATTATATTCCATATGTTTTTGTGTGTTATATTTTGTCTCTGGAAGGCTTGATGTGTGAGGCAGAGGTGAATGAGTGCAGCTCTTCTCCATGTTTGAATGAAGGACTCTGTGTGGATGAAGTGAATCACTTTATATGTAGCTGTCCAGATGGATTCACAGGTCAGCACCTCACCTCTGCTACACCTGTCCACTTACATATGTGACCCTGGACCACAAAACCAGTCTTAAGTCGCTGGGGTATATTTGTAGCAATAGCCAAAAATACATTGTATGGGTCAAAATTATTGATTTTTCTTTTATGCCAAAAATCATTAGGACATTAAGTAAAGATCACGTTCCATGAAGATATTTCGTAAATTTCCTACTGTAAATATATCAAAACTTAATTTTTTTCAAATTCGTTTGTTATGATTTTTTTAACCGCACGCCGTCATCGCCACGGAGGAGCAGGACCGAGCAGGGCACAGACTCACGCGTCCAGGAACGTCGCGTGCACACTCTAAAAATAGCTGGCGACAGAGGGGGTACGCGAACAAAATGCTGAGTTTTGCGGTGTTTCGTGAACGAATCGTTCGCGAAAGTCATTGATTCAATGATTCATTTATAAATACAGCCACTTGCTTAGTTACTGAATGAACAAATGATTCGATGACTCACGCATTAAGACAGTGACTTACCGCCACCTACTGGCGGTTTTAGTATTTAAAATACACTTTTCACTTTTTTTTTATCATCATTGCATATTAATCTATTGACTTTTTTTTTTAAAACATTAATATTCTACTTATAAAGATAAAAAATGCATTGGAAAGTCAATTTAGGGGGCAAATATTGTCCTTTCATGGAAAAGGTGCAGTCTTAAGTGGAAGAGGGGGTAGGCCTAAGCAGAAATGCCTCAGGGGGTACTCCACTCTAAAAAGTCTGGGAACCACTGATGTAGAACATTCTGTCCTGTGCAACAAGTGATTTATTTTATATTTTCAGGTACAGCGGTTAGTTTGAAATAAAAGTTTGTTTAACAGTGGAAATTGAGTCTCACATTATTTAAACATTATTCAAAAGATTAATGGTGAACATTTTCGACTTTATAAAATGATTCTCTCAAGTCTTGGCGATCAGCCCCTATTAAACAATTAAGTTTAATTTTTGTAAGACATATTTTTCTTATACATAGTTTAGTAGCCTACTATTATTTTTGGCTGAATTGATCATTAATCAACTTAATTATTTCCTGGATTTTGTATCACCATAGTCCCTAAATGTATGTACATGCAGGAAATGGGATTCAAATCGAAAACATTTCCCCCCATTTTGTGTCCCCGCCACTTCTCAAACCAAAGTTACACCCTTGGTCCAGGGTCACATATAATGTCATTTATAATATAATACATTAAACTGGAAGTTCTTAAATTGTAGCGCACCAGTCGAGTTACAATGAATATCTTTGTCATTTACAACTAGGTCCACGTTGTGAGTTGGAAATAAATGAGTGTGCTTCCAGCCCATGTCAAAACGGAGGTGTCTGTAAAGATTTGGAGGGTGGGTATTTCTGTACATGTCCTCAGGGCTTCACTGGCGACAATTGTGAGGTTGATGTTGATGAGTGCTACAGCGCCCCCTGTCTGAATAGAGGAACATGTGTGGATGCTATCAATGATTTCAGGTTAGTGAGGAAGCCTTTGTAGAAACTGTTTATACATATGCATTAGGAAGATGGTTATAATGCGTTGTATTTATTACAACTGACATATGATAGATAACAGACTTTGTCTCACATTTGCGATCAGGTGTGAATGTGTGAATGGATACAGAGGCAGACTATGCCAGGTGGACGTAGACGACTGTGATCCAAATTTGTGTTTGAATGGCGCGACCTGCGTGGATGGAGTGGCCACTTTCACCTGCCGATGCCCTCCTGGGTTCAACGGAACCAGGTGTGAGACAGGTATAGAGGGAAAGAGATGAAAAAAAAAACATCATCATAGAGAGAAGTTTTACAAAGGCTTGTTAGAGACAGTCTTTGTGTCACTTTAATTGAGATTGAATTAAGATGCGTTCCCAGAAAAGTTCCTAGCAGCAAATGATTCAGTAGACTGTTAATTTTCACACCCTGTTATACAGTACAGAATACATTTTTCATAGAAGTTTTCTGATAAAGTTTGATCTACTGTGACAACAAACTGTAATTTTTCAGAACCAAAAACTTCCTCCCCAGTTAAAAAAGGTCATTTATTAGAATTAAGCTACAAAAATATTTGCTTTGAACTTCTGCATCTTTCTGACATTAGAGAGATGAATGTTAGCAATAAGAAAATCATTTATAATTTATTTTTATGAATCAAATTGTCATTTTTAAATATGTATTATTTATTTGAGGTAAAACCTTTTTTTTGACATTACAAGTTAACCACAAATATGCTGATCAAAAAATAATGTTATGAATGTTCAGATAATTAATATGACCCCTTGATAATTACATATCATCTGCTGTCTTTTCCTTTTTTTCAAACAGAAATGCCCTACTCTTTTGATCTGGAGTTTGAAGTTTCTGGTATCCATGGTTATGTGATGATGGATGGTCACATGCCATCACTTACACAGATCACATGTACATTTTGGATGAGGTCATCAGACACTGTTAATTATGGAACTCCCATCTCTTACGCTGTAGAGGGAAGTGACAATGCCTTCCTCCTCATTGACTATAATGGGTGAGAGCTTTATTTAAAAGTTGCAAAATTTGCATTTGCATAACTAAACTAAATATGATTATGATTCTATGATCGGTTTAACAGTTTTACATTATGCAAGTTCATTTTTCCTACACCTCACTCTTGTTTATCCGTCACTCTGTTTTTTCTTACATTCTCCTCTTTTCCTGTTCCCTTTTGTTTCTCTCTTACTTTCAGGTGGGTCTTGTACATTAATGGCAAGGAGCGGATCACTGACTGCCCAGCAGTAAATGATGGCCTCTGGCACCATATTGGTGTATCATGGCGCAGCAAGGATGGTGATTGGAGAGTTTATATCGATGGGAGCCCTTCAGATGGAGGGAAAGGACTATCCGTTTGCACTACCATACCAGGTTGACCTTTTTACCTAATAAAGAATTCAAACAAACTGCCAGTTCATTAAGGCACTATTACTGCTTATGGTGCTTCAAAGAGAATGTGTGTTATATTATACTTACTTTAAACAGGAGGTGGTGCTCTGGTACTTGGACAGGATCAGGACCAGAGGGGAGATGGCTTCAACCCAGTGGAGTCCTTTGTGGGCACTCTTAGCCAGCTTAATATATGGAACTATGTTTTAACACCACAGCAGGTAACAGTTTATACACATTCCTCATTCTTACTCTTAAGTTACCAGAGTAAAGAGTTCACTGAGACCGAAAAAATGAAAAAGTTTATATTTCTACTATTCTCAGATCAAGTCTCTGGCCACTAGCTGTCCACGTGATCTGCAGAAAGGGAACGTGTTTGCATGGCCTGACTTCTTAGGAGGAGTCACGGGCCGAGTAAAGACCAACAGCAAGAGCGTTTTCTGTGCTGGTAAGAATCAAGTCAAGTCATATATTATTATTATTCAACCATTGCATGGGGGAACAAAACACTGCTGTCCTTGTAGTTAATTTTCTATAACATTTCTAATTTTAGGAGACTAACTGCCACAGAGTAACAACAATACTCATATTTTTATCAAATGTTATCAAATGTATCCTTATATGTACCAACCTAACGCATATAAATCATTATAAACTTTGAGACTAATGGATCATAAATCAGTCACGTAAGTATGTTTTTATGTACTGGTGAGAAAGTGTAACATTTATTGTCCACTGTTTTGGTCTTTGTTAGACTGCCCCCTGGTGGATGCTTCTGTTCCTCAACTGCGCTCATCCACTAAAGCTGTGAGTCCGGGCTCTAAGGTGCAGTTCTCCTGCAGTCCCGGGTTCTATCTGGTGGGGGAGCCGGTGCAGCAGTGCCTAAACAGAGGCCAGTGGAGCCACGCAGAACCAATATGTGAACGTGAGTGATGTGAATGCACAGATATACAACAGAGGACACACAAAAGCATACGCTGGCTGTTTAAACAACCACACGTTCAAAATGATGGTCATTTGGTACGTATGGTTGTTTAAACAGCCAGCCACATTTACAAATATACTTACACTGTACTGATGTACAATCATACAACTTAAATTGAACATTTTCAAATGTAGATAAGCACATGCCATAACACAAATAGATGAATAGTTTGTGCACATACTCACATGTACTCCATATACTCACAATGTAGTATTAACATTACTCATTACCCAGTACTAGGACCATCATTAATCTGTACCAGGGCCTTTCTCTTTATCTGTAGGTGTGGAATGTGGTCCTCCGCCTGACCTGGAGCATGGGCAATATCATGGAGAGGATTTCTATGCTGGGAGCACAGTGCTTTATCAATGTAAACCAGGGTTCTACTTGCTAGGGGAGAGTAAGATGTTGTGTACCAACAATGGTAAATGGATTGGCAACCCACCTGCATGTCTGGGTAAGATACACAGCAAATCAGGGAAAGAACCTGAGAGAAGCTTTCAATAGACAATAGGTCTATACCAGAGTTATCAAGCATCACTATACACAGGTGCACCTGGAACCTAGAATATCATTTTACATTTTGTTTGTCTTTGTTGTGTTGGTTTGTGCTCATATTACAGATGTGGATGAATGTTCTCTGGGCTCTGAATGTGATGAGCATGCTAGTTGTCAAAACACCGATGGCTCTCATATATGCACCTGCATACCTCCTTACAGTGGAGATGGAAGAAACTGTACAGGTAACACAATCTCCTAAACTGGACATTTATAGTTTCCACAGGTTGCAGATGACTGCGCTTACAGCCCACACAGTAACATGTTTATTAACTAAAGAAAATTATTATTATTTTTTTTTTATTCTCACTAGAGCCGGTAAAATGTAAAGATCCAGGTTTTCCTGAGTTTGGGCACCGTGAGGGCAGTAATTTCATCATGGGCAGTGAGGTGTTCTTTTCCTGTAAGGAAGGCTTTGAATTGATCGGCTCATCCCATCTATCCTGCACAGAAGACGGAATTTGGAAAGGAGATGTCCCATACTGCAAAGGTAGGCCTAGCTTTTATATCTGTTTATTGGAGCTGTTCTGTGCCTGCATACACTGGTCCATTCAACATTTGGTGTTAGTATGATTGTTTTGAAAGAAATTATTAGTTTTATTCAGATAATTACTATTAAAATGAAGTATCACGGTTTCCACAAATGAAGGATCAAGTGACACTGAAGACTGGAGTAATGGCTGCTGAAAATTCAGCTTTGCCATCACAGGAATTAATTACATTTTTATCTATATTAAATAAGAAAACAGTTATTTTAAATTGTAATAATATTTCCCAGCATTACTGTTTTAATGTATTTTTGATCAAATAAATGCAGCCTTCCTGAGCAAAAGAGACTTATAAAACAAAAAAAATCTTACCAACCCCAAACATTTGAACGGTAGTGTAGCAAATAACAAAACAAAGCTAGCACGCATAACAGTTACTTGAACATAATTCTTGATTTATTCTTTAGTAAAATCAAAGGAGTCAAGCTAGTACTAATGGAAATATAATGGAAATATTCCTGTCGAAATATACTGAATGTTATTGGGTAATAGTAACAAACAAGCTTGTCTTGGGATCCGAATGGTTGCAGCAGCAGTGTAAATGTAATCCAACTGCCCCCACACACACAAATTGTTTCTCAATCTCAGTGGGAAACTGGCTTGATTACAGAGATATAAAATGTCTGTGTATATATAGGTACCTAATCTGATAAAAAAATTGATCAGCTTTGTTCAGTCCATGTTACTGGAAAAATTAAGCAGTTAACAATCCAGCAGACTGAGCGTTATCCTGAATCTCAGCCAGCAGCTTTTATGAGGCTTTTATACCTTGTCATCTCACATTACTGTATGTCAATTAGAGTTACATGTATTTTGTTTTGGCGGATTTCCGATACACTCTGGATGCATTGCAGTGATGACGTCAGTTACTGTCTGAAGTCTGCACAAAACGCTGAGCATAAGCTGTTTCTAATGATTTCCACCAACAGCCCTTTCCTGTGCTCATCCCACTCTCCCTGAATATGGAATCATGAAAGGGTCAAACTTCACATACAGAAGCAAGGTGACTTTCAGGTATCACTGTCACTGTTAGATGTAGTCGGTTTCTAGAGGTATTGTATAGTAAATTTTAAAAGACCTGTTTAAATATGAGAGAGACTACTTTTGTTTAACAACATAATGGGAAAGGACAATATTTTTGTGCGTTTGTGTGTAAATAACCTTTTCATTTTCTGCTCCGCTGCAGTTGTGAGAAGGGCTATGTCCCTCAGGAGCCAATAGAAAGCCAGTGTCAATCTGATTTGAAGTGGAGCAGAGAGCCCCATGTTTGTCAGCCTGTTACCTGTGGTGAGCCTCCAGTGGTGGATTATGCTGAGTATACCCTCAACGGGAAAGTGTACCTCTCCACACTAACCTACACCTGCATAGAAGGATACAGGTAAAGTCTGATACATTTTCATCACTGACTTTATGAAAAGTGTAGCAGGAACAGTATAGGACAGGGGTCGGCAACCTTTTATAAACAGGAAAACCCCGACCCCTGGTATAAACAGGAAAACATTTTCAAATGGTATGGTTGGTTCTTATACAATCTAGATGTCAGAGAATGTATTGACTTTCCTGTTTTTTTTGGTGTAAAGATTGCAGGGTGCCATGGAACTGAAGTGTGAGTCATCAGGAGAGTGGGCATCTCCTCCCCCCATGTGTGCCAGAGTGGACTGTGGCAAACCTCCTCCTTTGAAGGATGCTGTGATTAAGGGCGACAACTTTACACTGGGTAGCAGGATCATCTATGTTTGCAAAGAGGGGTAATTAACCTCATATATGCATATTTTGTTGCCAAAGGATTTGATCAGATTGTATTTGTTTGTAATCACCAAGGACTGATGTTTGATGCCCTATTAAATATCTTTTTCAGTCACTCTAGTAATGATTTGTAAAATATGTCTTATTGTAGTTACACCCTCCTTGGTGTAGAAACTCAAGAATGCCTCCCAAGTGGCAACTGGACTCGTAATTCTGCCCAGTGTGTGCCTCGGTCTTGTGGACCACCACCCCAAGTTGACCATGCCTTACCTGACACTGGACACCAGCTTTTTGGAGACACTGCTATCTACTTCTGCGATGATGGCTACACTGCTGGTAACAATACAAAACTGTTCTGCAATGCCCAAGGTGTTTGGGCACCCCCAGATGGATTTGGCATTCCTCACTGCATTGCCAACTTCTGTCTGCGTCCTCCGGATTTACCTCATGCCATTCTGGACTCCATCAACAAACCAAAGTATGCAAGCAACACAGAGGTCAGCTACAAGTGTGAGGAGGGCTTTGTTCTCAACACAACAGGAACCCTGAAATGCATGATAGGGGGAGAGTGGACACCCTCGCCTTTGGACATTGGCTGTATGCCTGTCAGATGCTCAAAGCCAGACAGTATTGAGAAGGGTTATGTAAGTGGGAACAATTATAGTTTTGGAGCGGTGATTGCATACAGCTGTGATAAAGGGTATTTCATTCGAGGAGAGAAGAGGAGAATTTGTAAAGCCAACGGTGAGTGGGGAAGTGTCTTGCCCACATGCCAACCTATTTCCTGCCCCAGCCCAACTCGCTTGGCAAATGGTTTTATCCAGGTAAATACAATAATGTCTCCCAGTGATTCATGATATTTTAGTACCATATTGATTAGATTTTTAGTGTCTTATTTCTAATTTATTTAGACAAAATTAAATAGAATTTTAATATTGATGCATCCCTATTAAGGAATATTTGCAATTCATTTATTTAATCCGTAATTAAATATGTATGATACTTTTTTCCCATAGGGCCAAATAAGAACAAACGGCTACGTATACAGCAGTAGAGTAACCTATGCTTGCAATGATGGTTATCGCCTAACTGGAAAGCCTGACCGTATATGCATGGCCAATAAGCAGTGGTCAAATAACAATCCTCCTGTTTGTGTTCTCCTCACCTGCCCTACCCCACCTGATATCAAAAATGGCCGTTATCACGGCTCCACCTTTGAAGTCGGCAGCAAGGTGGAATTTACCTGCAACGAAGGATATGAACTCATTGGAGATTCTGTATGGACTTGTTTAAAGTTTGGAAATTGGGACAAGAGCGTAACCCCACGTTGTTCCCCAGTACAGTGCCCCGAACCACCTTTAGAGGAGAATCACCTTGTACTGCGTGGATTAGATTCTGACTCAGGCATTGTGGAGCTTTCTTGTGAGGAAGGGTATGTTCTCCATGGTGCACGAACTCTTCGTTGTACCCCGTCCCAGGAGTGGAATGACTCTTTTCCAGTCTGCAAACAAATCTTTTGCGGACCTCCCCCTGAGGTTGCCTTTGGTGACCCATCTGACGCACTGTCCTACTTTGGTAGTGTGGTGACCTACTCATGCATGGATGGCTTTACACTCCGGAAGGAAGCTTCTGTCCGCTGCCAAGCAGATGGGAACTGGAGTAAACCTTATCCCGAATGCATTCCTGTTGAATGCCCGCATCCTGAGGACATACCAAATGGAATTGTGGATGTTCAAGGACTAATGTATCTTAGTACTGCTGTCTATAGCTGTAAAGCAGGGTATGATTTAGCAGGTAACAGCACTGTGCTTTGTGGTCAAAGTGGACAGTGGATAGGAGGTGTACCTGTATGTCACCCTGTTAAGTGTGCTGCACCCATGGAGATTCCCAATGGCTCTGTTAGATACTTCAAGCTTCAGTTTAGCCAATCAGTTACATATTCCTGCCACAGGGGGTACCGCTTACAGGGCCCAGAAATGCTTACCTGCCTGGAGAATGGACAGTGGCACCAGGTGGCTCCTACTTGTGAGCAGATCTACTGTTCTCCTCCAAAACCAATTGCGAATGGCTTTGTAGAAGGACGGGACCGCAAGTTTGGGGTTACTATCTTCTATAGCTGCTTTCCAGGTTTCCTACTAGTTGGTAATAATCATCTCACTTGTGAAGAACATGGCTGGTCAAGCTCTGAGCCCAAATGTATGCCTGCTGACTGCGGCCTGCCTCCACATATTGATTTTGGTGACTACTCGAAGGTCAAAGAACCACCAGGAGAAGACAACGCACGTACAAGCCAGCATTTACCTATAGACAACAGCTTTTTACATGGTTCCCTGGTTCAATATCATTGTCATTCTGGATATGAAATAAAAGGTGACATTGTGTTGATGTGCCAAGAAGGTGGCACGTGGAATGGGACTGCCCCTGTGTGTGCTCCGGCACAGTGTGAGACTCCACCCAGCCCTGAATATGGATCAGTTATGGTAACAGATAGCGCACTTGGCAGCCTTGCGGAGTACAGTTGCGAGGATGGTTACGAACTCAATGGACAGACCATTCGACAGTGCATTTCTGGGAAGCAGTGGAGCGATGACGCTCCTCGCTGTTTGCCCATCTCTTGTGGTAATCCTGGAGGCATTGCGAATGGTGAGGTGATTGGAAAATCCTTTCACTTCAAGGCACTTATTCACTATGACTGCCATAAAGGGTTTGTCCTTGAGGGTGTTGAAACTAGAACTTGCCAGGTTGATGGGAAATGGGACAGCAAAGCTCCATCTTGTAGAGCAATCTCCTGTGGGCGCCCTGTTGTATCAAAGGATGTTTTAGTAAGAGGAGACGACTATACATTTGAAAAGAGGTTGTTGTTCAGCTGCAATCTCGGCTTCATCCTACAGGGAGCACCGACCAGTGTTTGTTTAGCCAATGGCAGTTGGAGTGAGGCTCCTCCAAAGTGCCTCCCAGCCAACTGTGGTCAACCACCGGTAATTGAAAATGGCCGAGTAACAGGCACGGATTATGGTTACAACGGCATGGTTAGGTATGCTTGTGGCATTGGATACGTCTTGACAGGAAATCCAACACTAATATGCAGAGCTGATGGACTATGGGATGACCCTCCTCCGCGGTGTGACATAGTCACTTGTGACCCACCTGAGGACATTAGCCATGGTTACCTGAATGGATCAAGCTTTAATTTTGATGATGTTGTGGAGTATATCTGCTTCCCAGGCTATGAGATCGTTGGCAGTCCAGTTTTGCGATGTGCTGCCGAGGGTGTCTGGCTAGGGCAAGTTCCAGAATGCCGATCTTGTGTTTGCAGTCCCCCAATTCTTAAGTACGGTGCTATTCTCGGCCGAGATCACACCTGTGGTGCAAGCATCTGGTTCCGATGTGATGAAGGCTACAAAATTCTTGGCCCCACAGAGGCCATATGCGACAAGGGTGGAGTGTGGAGTCCAGGAGTACCCATCTGCACCCGAGGGAGATGTTCCAGCCCTCCTCCAGCTGTGCCTAATGCTGTCGTACAAGGCAGTGCTGCCTACTCCATTGACACTGTCACTTACCGGTGTAGGCCAGGGTATCATTTGAAAGGTTTTCCCCATCTGTCCTGTGGAAGGTTGGGTAGATGGGGAGAGCCAAACCTGAACTGTGAACCTGTTTCTTGTGGAGTGCCTCCTCTTGTCCCAAATGCAGAGACTGCTGGAGTGGTGTTGACCTATGGCAGTAAAGCTCAGTATAGGTAATTTGACATAACAGAAACATCCAATAAAAACTAAGTACAAATAAAAAGGTGCTGAGGTGCTTTAAACTGAACGTTCCCACTTGACACAGGTGTAAAGAAGGCTTTGAGTTGGCAACAAAGACAGACTCAATATCCTGTCAAAGTGATGGCACCTGGTCCAAGCACAGCGTCAGATGTCGACCTTCACCCTGCAGCCTGCCTGCTAACCTCACCCATGTAGTCATCACAGGCAAGCAGCTCACACCTGTAGGGGGAACAGTCATTATCTCCTGTAGACCAGGGTACTATCTTGAGGGACCTGGATTATCTGAGTGTTCAGTAAGTGATATGTCAAGATGATCATTTTCTGTGGACACTCCTTGCTTCATTTGGTGATAATTTTGTCTAATGATGTCTCAGGATGTTATTTCCCTTTTATTTGATCCAGGTCTCTGGCAAATGGTCTCCACCTTTCTCCTCCAAGTCTTGTGTGCCTGTTATTTGTGAGAAGCCTCTCCCCATTATCAATGGCTTGGTTGAGGGCAAGAGCTACAATTATGGAGATATTATTAGCTATAGTTGTCTACCAGGTTTTGAACTACAGGTACATTATTTTTATCCATCTATTTTTCACATAGCTTGTCCTATGTAAGGTTGCGGGGATGCTAGAGCCTATCCCAGTGTCTCAGGTCGTAGGCAGGGAAACACTCTGAAAAATGCCCAGTTCAACACAGACATTAGACCTTATGTAGTTAAAACAAATAAATTCAGTGTCAACAAAGCTTATATTATTTTGTAACAAAACTAATGCCATATTCCCCCCAAATCATTGCCCAATAAATATGTTTCTAATAAAGATGAATAAGAGGAAACCAAGAGAATGTATGATGTATTCTTATTTCTCATCATCCAGGGTGATTCTGTTCAGACATGTCAAGGTGATAAAACCTGGAGTGGAACTCAGCCAGTGTGTGCTGGTAAGAATTTTTCACAATGCAAAACATGCTATTGTAGTAAGAAAATTAATGTATTATTAATATTATAATCAAAATCATTCTGCTTGATTTGTAAACTCATCTTTTGTCTCTTTTTTTTTAAGCTGTGTCATGTGGTCCTCCACCAGTGGTTCCCCATGCAGTTACTGTGTCCAGTGGTCAGACATACCAAAGTATTGTGAGTTATACGTGTCATCCAGGGCTGAGTTTGATTGGTTCACAGAACCTCACTTGTCAAGCAGACGGAAAATGGAGCTTATCTACACCATCATGTGAATGTAAGAACAGATAAACTGTCACTCTTTAGCTTTTAAGTAACACAGTGTAAATTCAAAGTCTTTCACTGTTCCTCTATTTAACCTTTTTTGTTATTTTCTCTTCCTTTCTCTTTTTCACAAATGTACATATACACAAACTATCAGTTCCAGATGGCTGTGAGAGGATAACAGACTTATTGAATGGAAAGGTGCAGGAGCACAATCTGTCCAGCGGACGTGCTCTTGAGTTCCACTGTGACAAAGGCTACACACTGCAGGGAGAGTCTATCATCATGTGTGTGGGAAACGGCTCCTGGAGTTCACCTTTCCCTGTCTGTATACGTATGTCATGCACTATGATTTCAAAACACTGTTTGTTCATTGACTTATTGATGTTTTTAGTTCACTCACAAGTCTTTCAAAAACAGACATTCTTTTATGTGTGCAAACTTTGCAAGACTTTGCCCAACAGACGTTTTTGGTAAAGTAATTTCACAACCTAACTAATAAAAGACTCTTGTTAAGCCTTCAAAAGTAAGAGCACCACAGAATACCTTGTTTTCCTACAAGGAACACACAAACTAAATGTCACATTTCTAAGAATTAATATGTTACTTCATTGTTGGTCTGGGTTTTTTTGTTAGTCATCAGTTCCAGTCACAGTATCTAAAGATAAAATAGTTTAGACATGCAGTAAATGACTCAAATCTTATCCCCCCACCTCCACAGCCAAATCATGCCCCCCTCCTCCTGGCTGGACTGGAGGCAGTTTCAACGCTACTCAGACGGTTTTCCTGGTAGGCCAGTCAGTGTCAGTCAGTTGTCCTAAAGGTCAGCGGGTCAAAGGTAACCAGGGAAAAGTTATCGCCACCTTAACTTGCAGGAGTGATCAGACCTGGACCCCCATCAGTGCAGTGTGTGAGAGTGAGTACAAACATTCATTATTTCCACCTTTACTGTATTTTACAGTGGCTTTACGTGACAAAAAAAATCATGTTAAAATATGAAATTGTGGTTGGTTAAGAAGACACTCTGGACTTTGAGCCAAATCACTTCAACTGCGTGTAATCACTCTGACTCAAGCACAGCTGCTGATTACAGCAGCTTGAGGAGTAAAATTTGACCAGTATCGTTTGTTCCTCATTCAGGCTGCAGCATCACAATTAGTGCTGCTTTTCATATTGCATGGTATCCCTACTATCTGTGTTTTGTTGGAAACATTCTCCTGTATTTTCTTCTGTGTTACTTCTGCATGCTATCATTCCGAATATAAGAAGCCTACTCTCTCATAGTTAATTAATGCTCCTTTGTTGTGTTGTATAATTTGATATTTTGATCCTTGGGCGTTTTGCATGCTATAGCTCTGCAGTATGATATACATACTACTAGATGTATGTGGTGGTGTGTGTGCACATTTATTGACTCCTTTTTATCTTTTACAAACTTTTCAACCCATTTTCTGAAATCTGATCCTGGCAGTATGTGTATATATTCACTTTTCTCTCTGTGAGACACCTGTTGAATTTCACTCACTGTTTGTAGCATCACTATTATCAGATATGGAGGATACTATGATCTCCTGTTTTGATTGTATGCTCCCAAAACTAATTAGGCTTCCTGGTACACAAAAGAAATGTGAAATTTTCTAAAAAGATTGAAATGAGAGAGCATGAAATTGCCATTTCATAACCAACCTTGAAAGGCCCAAAAAGCTCTCATAAGTTCTTCAACGGACTGCTCAGCCATGCTGAGAATCTTCGTTTCTAACGTACTGGTCCGGTCCATTTTAATCACACACAGGGGTGTCCTGCGGCCCACCACTGTACGTGGCAAATGGGGTAGTCCGTGGGGCAGTGTTCCAGTTTGGAGATGTGGTGTACTCATGTTACGCAGGCTACACCATGGAGGGTTCTAGCAGGAGTGTGTGCTTGGAGAATGGCACTTGGACCCCACCCCCTACCTGCAAAGGTAGCACAAGGAACTGCCCTTAAATCCCACTTGGAGTTCTGACTTCAGCCTTTTTCTTCATCTTTGCAAAATCTTGTGACTCCTTTTGACTGGTCTTGCACATTTACACATATACACACAAGCACTGAGCACTTTAGACAATGATATTAGGCCACACTTCTAGTCAGTGGCTTGAGATTAACTAGCCACATTTGCACATTTTTGGTCTCAAGAATCTCATTAAACTTATTCACACAAATCTCCAAAGTTCCATGCCCTTTCTGTAAATATTGTAAATAGATTAGAAATAGAATTTATAATGTTTTAAATGTCAATGAAAAAAGTTTTATGCTTATCAGGGGCCAGTTGCATAAACTTAGACTTTATATTAAGACAGTGTCTTAAGAATTAGTCTGAGTATCAGTTAGCCAGGGGTAATCGGTCTTGTTTTTTGGATTCAATTTAGACTAATCCACGTTTTTATGTAACTGAATAAAAAAATTATGACTAAAGAAAATAAATTAGATTATTGATTTGTAAGATTAGTCTAAGCTTTTTATGTAACAGACCCCAGGGGTGCTTTTATTTGGTTTTTAAAACAGTAATGTTGTGAAATATTTTTGTATTTTAATTTGACATTTTCAGCAGCCATTCATTATCCCATTTTCCTTCAGAAATCATTCTTAAGATTTCAGTTTGGTGCTTAAGAAACATTTCTTATTATCGGTATTAGAAATGGTTGTGCTGATTAATATTTTTTGTGGAAACAGTGATGCAATTTTTTCAGGATTCTTTGATGAACAGAAAGTTAAAAGAACTGAATTTGTTTGAAAAGTAAATTTTATATCAATGTAAGTCTTAACTGTCACGTTTGGTAAATAAATGCATGAATAAAATCTTACGGACCCCAAAAATTTGAAAGGTAGGATAAGAAATAAGACTTTGCCTTCCATTATAATACTGCCTCAATCTCCTTATAAAATATAATTTTATTATTATTTTAAATAATTTAACAATAATTTTATTGATGTCATTAAGTTATAGTGCTCTATAGGCCCTAACAAGTAAATGTTATGTGCTATGCAGCAGTATGTAGCTAACAGTTACTTAATGTCAAAGATGTTATTTATTGCATATTAGCATAGCATTTTAGCATAGATGGAATGTTATATTGATCAATCCATGACCAGAAATTGTTTTATAATAGTCCCTGAACAGCATTGTCCCACAGAGATTATAGAGATGGGCTTTGGTGTGAATGTCACTCTTTTCAACAAGGCATGATATTTTGCTTTAATTTTTGGCATGGTGATGTTTTAACATTGTACTTTACATGGTAAGCCCTTCTTTCAGCCTTGGAGTTGTTGGCTTTTTTGGTCTAGCTGCTGCTTGTAGAAACTAATTCTGATCAGTGGAGTTTCACACTGGTCTTAACATCTAACATCTGGTTCATCTTCTGCTGCATGTTTTGTGTGGTATTTTGGAATTCTGTTAGGAGAGTGATTGCACTGCTACTTTTTTGTGATTTGTGTCAGTTTCATCGCTGTATCAGTCGTGTTTTGTGTGTTTGTACAGCTGTCTGTTGGCTCCAATGTCAGAACGGAGGTGTGTGCCAAAGACCAAACACTTGCTCCTGTCCAGAGGGATGGATGGGCCGATTTTGCGAGGAGCGTAAGTACACACACAATCATGCACGATAACAGCAGCAGCACTCACAAACAGAGATTATTAATATTTCCATATGACAGCAGCCTATTACTTTAGGTAACATTTCATGGGTCAATAACAGCATGCATCACAACGGTTTCTTAAAAAGCATTGCTTATTAACAGTCACCTCACACACAAAGCTGCATTTCTCTCTTTGGCTTCACTTTTTCTTCCTCAGGAAGCCAAAACTGCTGGGTGTGGTGTGAATGTCTTTAAAGGGTTAGTTCACCCAAAAATGAAAATTAGTCCATAAATTACTCACCCTCAAGTCATCCTAGGTGTATATGACTTTCTTCTTTCAGACGAATCCAGTCGGAGTTATATAAAAAATTGTCTTTGATCTTTCAAGCTGTTTTATGGCACTCAGCGGGTGTTGCATGCGTCAGTCCAAAAGAAGTTAAATAAAAAGCGCCCATCCATAAAAAAGTGTCTCACA